ATCTTCGCACTTAGCTCTCTGATAGTCGTATTTTCGTTGGAAGCGTGTCTGGAGTTCTGGGCGGCGCTTAACAAAGTTATAAGCCCAACGCGTCCCGATGCGTGGCGCGTCGCGTGCTTCAAGAAGTCGATTTGCTATATCTTCCACTACAGATATCCGCGGAGGAAATCCTTTTGTAGCTAGGTCGAGGATATGTTGAACAAGTACTGATTCCTCTAGCTCGGTCATTTTCCGTGAATTGGCTAAAATATCGCGTCGTGAAGGTATACCAAGCAAACGTCGACCTAGCTTCCGGTGGTCTACAGAATAGGTCCTGGCAGCAGCTCGAGCACGTAAATTTGGGTCTTTTTTGCATAGCTTGGATAGCTAAGACTAACCGGCTTTCGTCATTTTTCAGAGGCATCCTTCGTTGTAGAGAAATTTAATATTTCGTGGAGGTGTGGTGGGGTCGCCGGGTTTTGGCCGGTTCGCTATACATGCACGTTATTATAAGCTTAATAATAAATATCTAAAAAAGTAGAATAAATAACTCTTAGAAAGGAAGTAGCTCTAACTAAAAGATTTATTAAAGTATTTCTTAGTATTATAGAAAATATAAGCTTAATTACTAAAAAAGCTAAGAGCTATTATATTTATACTATAATATTAAATAAACCTAATAAAAAGCTAAGTAGAGTAATATTAAGCTATAATAGGTACTTAATAAAATATTCTTATTTAAATCTATTTTATAACTTTAGCTTAAAGAAGTATTACTAATTAGAATATACTTTAACTAAATATTATAATCTACCTTTAAAGAAACCTATAACTAAAAAGTATACCTAAGATATTCTTACTAAGCTCTAAGAAAATAAGTTTAAGAAACTAAGAAAATAACTTATTTAATAAGATTAGTTTTACTTAGATAGGAAAATAGGAATTAAAGTAGATCCTTCTAAAAAATTAGGTTTATTAATAGCTAAGTGTCACGAATCACGTGTCAGCACGTGAAAAGTGAAGACCAGGCGGTGTCCTGACAGGTCAAGCACTATCGTATGCTCTTATAGCAAATGGGGATCCTTAGACTAGCTAAGCGATCCAGGGATTTCTTTTGCTTAGCATCACGTGACGGAAGGATCGCCTGGGGCGACAGGCGCTCCAGTTGACTGGGTCGCCTAGGTCGACAAGCGACTGAGGCGATCCAACAGTTGGAACAAAGAACTGAGGTTCTATATAAGACTGGNCAGGCGCTCCAGTTGACTGGGTCGCCTAGGTCGACAAGCGACTGAGGCGATCCAACAGTTGGAACAAAGAACTGAGGTTCTATATAAGACTGGCACGTCTGCCATTAGATAGGAGCTTCGTGCTCAACTTAGTTATCAATCTTATCATATTAGTTCGACATCTTTGATACAAGTAACGAGTTCACTTCCAAGTGAACAACCCGATAGTCTTCTTCTTATCATAGCATACCAACCAGCGAACACCCAGCCAAGTTTAGTTAGCCAGTTTGAGTATTCGTTACACTATACTAGGTTAGAAGAGAATATTCTTCTAAAAATCTCGTATAATTAAAAATAGTTCTTCGAGCGATTTAGAATAATTAAACTTAACATGTGTTTATTAACATAGTATTTAAAACAAAAAAACTTTTTTTGTAGTTATTATTAGATATAGTAAATTAGAGGGATATATGTAAAACCGACTACGCCAAGTCTACCACTTATCTTATCTCGCTTATCCACGAGGAGGCTCCTCACGAAAACTGGGTCTACCCGAAAACCCCCCGCCATCTTCAAAATCTCTATAGCCCTAAAATCCCCCCTAAACCCCTTCAAGAAAACCCAAAAAACATCCAGATTCTACTCTCCTTCCCTCGCCGTATCTTCCAGCATCAAAGTTTCAATAAGTTTCAAGTTTTACTACAACTACCACTAGGTTAGAGTACAAGGCCGCAAATAAGAAAACTGCTTCCATCAAACAATCAGCCAATCGGGTGGTGTGGTGTAATGGTAGCACGTAACGTTGTGGTTTTCGGGAATCCTCTGAATTGCACATTAGTCCGTTTCAATCAGGGTTCGATTCCCTGCACCGCCAGTTCTTGAGAGTTCTGGATTGAAAATGCGGGTGGTTCGATTCCACTTCTGAATATTTCTTGCGAATCTTTTTTTGGCACAGGTCGCCCGGAAGTGGGGGGAACGAAGTGAATAAGCGATGGGGCGACACTCCTCCAAAGTCAGGATACAAAATGTTCCAAATGGGCGAAATGATATAAGATGGCTGTAGGAGATATTGACCTTTAGAATGTTGTCCTGTTGGTCTTATGGCGAGTTGTTGGTTAGTTCTACCTATGGTCACTGATTTAATGTCAAATATAGAGGAAGGAAGCTGTGTTTGGTAATGGCAAAAATGGTTGCATATGAACAAGAATAACACAAACCAGAGATCAAATAACTCTAGCAGTAGAGCTATATCAAAGAACAACAAATAGTCTCCTACCTAGGAAACAGCCAAAAAACCAACCAAAGAAACTAGGATCGCCTCGCTTTTCCTCTCACAATATCAGATTTGCTAGCTAGCAGAGAGAAGCGTTTGTATACTAGCTCTTGTGGTTGGTATTTCTCTGTGCATATATCAAACATAGCTTTTTGGCCCGCCTTGAATATGATTTGAAGCTACTTTGAACATTCGCCAAGTCACAAATGATTAGTAGGGAAACGCAGACATTGGTGGAGTTTCCAGCAGCCTCGCCAGCTGCGGTGAATTCGCCATTCCGAAGCGGTATTGCGGAGATTGCGCCTTGTAGATTGCTGTATATGGGCTTTGCGTGTTGAAGAGAGCAGGGGACAGGTGGTGTAAGAGATTTGATCTTTCGATATCGTCGTAATACCACGTTGGTGAGTTGGAAAGGTGATAGCGAGCACTAATCAACTCGAGAGGAGGTGCCAAACTCGTTTCTATTCCTTGTTCGAGATTCTCATTGCGTGTGTGGTCGATTAAGGGAGGTGCTGTGCGCGATCGTTGTATGAAAGGGACGTTGTTTGTGTGGTTTTTCAAGTGAAGAGGTGCACTAGCGGCGATTAGTGAGTAAGACGTTTTTGTGTCTTCTTTGAGCAGTTCCGTAATGTATTCACTTCTCAGTGGTGCCTGCGGTCCAAATGGAATATTCTTGAGATCGCTGGTTTGGAATGGCGTATTATCCTCATTATAATTTCCCGGGGGTAAATGGCTGCAGTTTTCTCAAGGATTGTCTCCATGTACCCCATTCTCCTTTGTGAGCAGCAACTATGGTGAAATTCATATCTTGTAGAAGATCTTTGCTCCCGTACGACGGTTGACCCTAGGAACTTCATTGATTCTATCAAATTGCCACGCAGGGTCCCTGGAAAATAGAACTAGCGAGTAGTCAGCAGGTAATTGGGGATTTCAGAAGGTCGGTGTATTAAACTAACTTACCATAGGCGCTCAAGCATTGTGCGGCTGTAAACAATCAGTACTCGCTATATGCTTCGAAAGATTTTGTGCTAAAAGAAGGCACAATCTTGGGTACACGCTTTCTTAGGTGAAACAAGAAAAGCAATGCAAGCTCAAGTATTTGGGGAACCACAGGGTAAGCTCCGTCTCTCCTCCCCCGGGATACAAATACGCTCAATATTGAATTGTATCTTGGATCAGATCTATTGTTGAACAAAAGTTCTGCTGGCTCGTCTTGCAAAATGGTTTCGAGGTCGGACCGGTCACTATGTAAAATTAAGTGTGCCATCTAAAGCCCATTAATCAATAGGCACCACTGCTAAGCGTATTACGGGGGCTTACCCGTGCAGCATATTCTTGTTGCTCCTACTTGGTTCCAGGTATGTCTGAATCGACGTCGACAGTATTTTGAAGAGGTCCTTCCAAAACTTCTCTCGAGGAGGATATAATAGACTTATTGTTCGGTTTGCTGTCGACATCGTCCGATTCGGTCTGATTGTGTACCTCATCATCTTCTGGGATTGTCATCATGACTTGCATATCATGTGAGATAGCTTCGATATCTCTAGAAGTGCCTTCGATATCTGCTGTAGGCTCTGGTGTTTGACAAGTGATATAAGATGGTGTGGCTACTCTTCTGTCAGCAACTATTCTAGTATGAAGGGAATCACCTACGCATATCTGCAGCGGCAATCATATCATCATCCAACTTCTTCCTCTTAACAAAGCAGTTCATCTTTACTGGCGGCACTTGTTTCTCGTTCAAGAAAAACTCGGTCTCTTTGCCATCATCGATCTTCCTTTTGGGTTGCTTTCGAAGCATAACTCTCATGTCTGCATCCTTGATGTTCTTCTTATCAAAACCCCAGGCCTTCAATCGGCCTTTGTACTGTTTTAACCTACAAATGTGTGAGCATAGTCGTCGTGGAAGCTTCTGATCCAAAGTATGGCAAAAGCAGCGCTTAGGGCAAGAGGAAGGGTGCAATATGTCTGCGTTCAATGTACAGAAAATGCCGAGGAAGGAACGGAAGGGTAGACGAGAAAGCACATACGATCCTTTATGCCCAAATTGTTCTTCCATGATAGCTCAAACCTCGGAAAGTGTTTTCTCTTCAACATTGTAGAGTTGATTGATCCTCTCTTTCTGAACACTCCAGCCGTTGAGTTCCTCCATCTTGAATAAAGTAAAAGTCTGGTCGAAGTTGATCTTCTCAATATATATGTTGAACCTGAAGAAATTGATACAATATAGAAGAATGGAAACCCGATGGCCTTTTATCCTCCATCATCCACTCAGCCTCGTTTTCATGTAGCCAGATACACGTGATAGGAACTTTTGCTTGCAGGAGACTTGCATACGCACCCCTGCCATAAGTTCTCCATTGGATGGAATCACACATGAGGCGTTGATTATTCTGTTTCCCAATTGGCTGCCAGTCCTGGAAATGCTCACGAGCTTCTCTTCAGCTCCTCTCTAAAAGCAGCATTGATTCTGGATGGAGATACAAAAGTTCCTGACATGACGACAGCCCACTCGGTGATGTCGAAAGTTCCTTGAAAGCCTCCGTAGCAAAAGTTCCCAAAACACCACATAGAGTAGGTTGTGGATTCAAAAGTCCTTGTTAAACCCCAGCAACAAAAGTTCCTTGCTCTCGCTTGTACAAGTACCGTGGAATAAAGTAGACTATCTAGACCAGAAAACGACAAGCTGTTTTTGGAAGCAAGAACCAAAGCCAGCTATGAAAAGGGTGGATCGGTCAACAATCTGATCCTACGTGAGTTATATAGTCCAAGGACCACCACACTCTACAAAAAAAGTATTTTCTTTTCTTCAACCCCCTTTCGCCCCTCCCCTTACCTCCTCCCCTCCCATTCAACACCCCAAACCTATGATACTTACTATCTTCCCGTATTATATCCAAAAATCCAGAAAGAAAACAGTAAACCTACATCGGAACCAAAAAATATTATAAAACACATACAGTATCTCATTCACCCCAAAAGAAAAAGGATACAAAGAACACCATTCATCTAGATACCTAGCCAGCCAGCCAATTTCATTGATTCAGCCAACCAACCAAAAAAAGCACAGCTTACGACTAGCTGCCTACCTAATATATTCAAGCATGCATACATCTATCTCCACACCGCACATACCAACCCACCACCCTATCTTACTTTACTCCCCCTTGACCCCATAGCCAAAAAATAAAGAAAGAGGAGACACATGAAAACACCGGTTGCTGTGCGTACCTTACCCACATTCCCTCTCATCTCTTTCATCACTCTATATTACAATGGCCCCTTTCTTGCTCACCCTAGCCACTCATGCACCCTTCTCCTTCTCCTTCTCCTTCTCCTTCTCTTCCTTCTCCTTCTCCTTCGCGAGCCTAGAATCCACCCGTTCCCTATGCTGCCGATTTTTCAGATGAACTTCAAAATTTTCGACCGTCATCTCAGGCCCAGGCGTGTAAAGCTTGCCAGGACAGTCCTGACAGCGGATACGGGGGAGATACATGAATTTGATTCCTTCGGTGGATTCTTTGGGATTGGGTACTGGGTTGCCGGTTGTGGTGCTTACGGCTGAGTGCTTCATGACGCTTTCGAAGCGGTCGCCTGGGTAGGTTTCTTTGAGTTTCGCAAGGCCAGCTGTAAGCCAGTCGGGGGCGGGGGGCTGGGTGGTGTTAGTTTTTTGGTGTTTTGATATTTTTGAAGTTGCGGGAAAAAGGGGATGTAGGAGGATTCTAGTTGGGTTTTGGGGGTTTTTGTAGACTCATGTAGCATTTTTTTCCCTTTATGGGGGTGGATTGGAGATATTGGAAACATGATTTGGGATACATACTGCAGGTTGATTGGAAGTACCCGGAGGAGGAGCATCAACTCGACCAATTTGCCCTTGTGTCGCTGGGGTAGTTGGAGGTTGTAATGGCTGAGCTGATGTCCCAGGAGTTGAGGGAGGTCCCATTGGACGTTGAACTGGGGTGCTGGCTGTTGCTGAAGGCGCTCGGGGTAGAGGTGGGGGTGGTTGTGGTGATGGAGTAGGTTTCCCTACTCTTAATTCTCGAGCGAATTTCCTAAGTCGTTCTCGTCCGACTTTCAGTTTAACAATGAACGTTGAATTGTCAACACTCTCTTCACGAGCATCACGTCCGCCATATCTCCTACTAGAAGTTCTCGTCTCATGGTGATGTGCAATCATCGCTTCTGGAGTTTCGGATCTTCCAAGATTGGCCATCCTTTGCTGGGCTTGTGTGGCAGCGCCTCGCATACCACGCGTCCTGGCTGTACCTGTTGCTGCCAGATTTGAAATCGCAGGAGACTCAGGTGACGAATCTTCACTTTCTGACGAGTCTGTAAGATCTCCACCTTGTGCTCCCTTCTTCCCTCTTCCTGAGGGACCTCCGACCTTTTTATACAGACGGCTGTCCTCGACCTTCTCTGCAGCACCAGGAAGAACCGAAGAAACAACAAGAGTGCGCACAGTTCGCTGCCTGTCTTTAAGATCCGGTAATGTTGGCCCACCCCTTCTATTTACAGAACGTTTCTGTCTTCTCTGTTCTCGGGAATAGATCACTTCGGTCCTATCCAAATCTGCCTCCGTAACTTCATATAAATATGGTGAGAACTCTCGGGCTTGCTGTTGAGGCCGGAGTACTGATGTGAGTGGAGTAGGCAAAAAAGAGCTGATCAAGTCGGCATCTTCCAAAGGTCTTCCATCGAATGGATGCCCAACAATAAACAGACTTCTCGTAAATAATTGACTTTGCTCCCGTATACAGTGAGCAATAGCTGTTGTAAACTCCCCAGATAATGACAATTCCCTAGTCATACTTTGCGCAAACTCCTCTGGCGAATTCGAAGGATTGTTAATCTCCCATTCAAATTTATCTTCCAAGGTATGAGGTCCAATTGTGATATTCAGCTTGATGAGTATCCGCATTTCTTCATTTTTGTAGGCCGAATATGGCAATTCTGGATCGAGGGCATCCTCTTCTATGTATACTTGTGGGTAGAAGTCATTCAGCTGTTCCCGCAATTGGTGCAAAACTTGTTCTATGACAGGAGTTGAGGCTGGGAGTGGAAGTCCCATATCCTCAACTAGTTGAGCCGCAAACATCTCGGGCGAGACGGTGCGATCATGGAGGTTCCAGGTGAAGGTATCGCGTAGCTTGATCTTATCCCAATCCACCTCAATCCGTATGGGTATTAATTCCTCGACCTGCTCGGCCTGTTGATTCATGTCCTTGCGCTTGATGCGTAACTTGGCCGTCTTCCTATGTCCCAGCCGTGGCTTCTGGTTGGGATATACGAGCCTCGTTGGGCCATCTGTGAAACCATTTCCATATCCTGCATAACCCTCTCCATGCAGGCGGCTGGCAGGAAACCATTGTCGATATTCCTGGCGAACCAGCCTGTAATCGTCTTTCTCCGCACGGAGGTGGTTGTACTCGTCTCTTCGTCTGTCTTGGTCCGTGAGGATGGCAGAAGAATGCACCAGCTCCCGATTGGTATACTGATCGAGTAAATACTTGTCCAAGTCATTTTTTGTTCGTTCGCGCCGGGTTAAGACTGTGGTTGCAGTTGTCGCATTGGTCGACGCGGCCGCATCAGCCTCCGACGATTCCTGGGGGACTGGCGCCATGATGGACGCATTCGCGATGGGATTGCGACCACTATTGAAGCCGAGTCGCGTGTTTTCAGAAGGGTGAGGCGGCGGTTAAGAATGTCGTGTATTATTGCAGGCGCTTGTGTTGAGGCTTCGCGATGAACTGTCGCGCCTGATCCCCTAACAAGGCTGTTGCTGAGGTGTACGAGTAGCCAGCTGCACCTACAGCCTGCTGATACACGTGATCTCCATCCGTTGCCGTCTCTCCTCTCAGTCAAAATTCATAGGCTCCTGAGGTCCATCAAATACTCGTACTTGTTAGTGATTTTTGGGTATAACAATATTTTTGAGAACTCTCATAACACGCGTATAGGTAGAATATATTACTCTAAGTACTCCGTACGCGTAAGTAGAGGTAGGGTCCAGACTGCCGGGTCCCAATACACTGACGCCCCGGCGTCAGTTTAGAGCCGACTAAGCGCGGGTTTTCACGCCCCCCCACCACCGAAATGCGCGCGCGTCGCATTTACATCTACCAGCACTGTACTTTGGACTGTAATCAATGCACGCCTGACATAGCTACATAGCGAAAATGGACGTTCAACTCTCGCTGTCGCCACTGCCCTTACATTCACCTGAGCAACCACTTGAGCCAGCGTCAGCAGATGCCACCCCTCAAACGTCTATGCCACTGCCTCCAGAGGCTATATATAGCTCTAAAGAAGAGCTATATACTTCAATTCAAGCCTGGGCAGCACATCATTGCTATGCTTTTCGTATTGGACGGTCAACAAAGATCCATGGCGGTCCTAGGACGAAGATCACGTATAATTGCGACCGTTACGGCCTACCACCATCCGAAAAACATCCGCAACAGCATTTACAAGCACGTAAGCGACAGACAACTACTCGAAAAACTGGCTGCCAGTTCTCAATAGTAGCGCTTGAATGTATAAATTCTCAATGGGAGTTACGCTATAGGCCTGGCGTAGAGTATAGTCTACATAACCACCTTCCAAGTCAATCAGTTAGCTCTCATCCAGCACACCGGAAGCTAGCACAAGCAGAGATAAATCAGGCTAGATCTTTACACAATGCAGGTAAGATAGAAAGTAACTTGAAATAATTTAAGTCTAATATATATTTAGGGATTAAGCCAAGCCAAGCAATTACATACCTTCGCCAGATAACTACTACCCCACTTCAACCGTACGACATATATAACCTGAATGCCTCTTTCAAAAGAGAGCAAAGACATGGACTCTCTCCAAACGACGCCCTTATTCAGCACCTTACAGATAACAAAATACACTTCAAAATCAATGTCACGTCAGAGAACCGGACACAACACCTCTTCATTGCATATCCACAGTCAATTCAGCTTGCACAGACTAATCAAGATGTTGTATTAGTTGATAATACATATAAGACAAATAAGTTTCAGATGCCACTCTTACATATGATTGGTAAGTACCGCTTTTGACTTATTTGTACGCTTATAATACTAAGTATTCATAGGTGTTACAAGCTCTGGATTAACGTTCTCAATTGGATTTTGCTTCCTTCCCGGTGAAACACAGCAAGACTTTATATGGGGATTCCAATGTTTTCAAGAGCTTGGAATTAACCCTGGAGCTATAGTTATAGACGGTGACCAGGCTCAAAAGAATGCGTCAGAAGAGGTGTTTCCGCACGCCCCTACACTACTCTGTATTTGGCATGTAAACCAATGTGTACTTGCTAAATGTAAGAATGTAGTCGGGGAAGAGGATTGGAAGGCTTTTGAGGCTGCCTGGCGTATAGTTATTCAAGCACAGACAATTGAGCAATTTGATAAGCGCTGGCTTGAGTTTCAGACTCAATACTCAAACCCTAAGTCTCAACAGTGTGTGGCATACCTACAAAACGAGTGGCTAAAACCTGGTCAAAAGGAGCGTTTAGTTGAGGCTTGGACAAATCAATACTTACACTTCGGTATACGAGTAACCTCCCGTGCTGAAGGAGCTCATGCATATATTAAGCGCTACCTAGGGGGCAAAAAAACCAAGGGGGACCTCTATTCATCATGGCTACTTATTGAAGCAGCTGTAATCAACCAAATTACAGCTGTATCAACTCGTATAAGTATGTTACAGGACCGCGCACCACTTGATATAGACAAGAAGCTATATCAAGGCTGTTTTGGGGTAGTCACTTGGTATGCACTACGACTTGTACAACGACATCAAGAGACTGTTTCTCGGCCACTACTGCCCTGTACTGGTGCTTTTACCCGGGCAATGGGCTTGCCTTGTGCACATATATGCGAGATAAAGAAGGACACTACTGGGCTTACTCCATCAGACTTTCATGAGCACTGGTACTGGGACCGTAAAAGCACTATACAGCCACTACTTAACCCTCTATGGGCTGGTAGACAGCGTATAGCAAACGCAGAGGTTGCTCACACAGGCCGCATTCTCTCAAAAGGGGAGAAAAAAGCAAAGCAATTACCTAAATGCTCTGCATGCCACAGGCAAGGCCACACAATGAGTAGCCGTAGCTGCCCGTTGAAACTACAAGCATCAATTGCTGCTCAAAGCCAGATTCTCCTTGAATTAGATACAGTGCCCACATCACCCACATTATCCACATCACCTACAGCACCTTCAGCACCTCTAGCATCAGCACCTTTAGCATCTCTAGCACCAACTGTACCTAAGCAGCTTTCACCAGATCGGCCAGAAGTCTTAATTCTGGCCTACCTAGCTGAAAAAACAGCCTGGCTAGCCCAGCATCCTACTATACGGCCAGCAGAATATCGTAAGGCCCGAAAATGGAAAACACCAAGGCCGAAAATTTTAAAAGAGCAGGTATTTTATATGCCTAGGGAGCGGCGTGATCTTACAGGTACTATTATTACATATAAAGCTGACTGGACAAATGAGTAGATTATAGCATGGCTAGATAACGAGGAAAAGAAGGAGCAAGATGAGTATAATATGCTTGAATCAGAGTTTATTAGGAATAAGAATAAGAATACTGAGAATAAGAGTAGAGATATATGAGCTAGACTTGAGGAAGAGTATGCGCGAGACTCGGAGCGATATATATTGTAAGATTTATTATATGTTATTTTGTTAAGCATGTATTAATTATAAGTATAAGTAGAGTGTTCGTGGATGGTGGGGGGGCGTGAAAACCCGCGCTTAGTCAGCTCTAAACTGACGCCGGGGCGTCAGTGTATTGGGACCCCAGACTGCCTCGACTGCTTACTAAACATTGTGCTGGTTGCGCTCGTGGACCTGGTTCACCCACACCAGCATATGGAGCTCGCAGGGATCTTCTGCATCTGCATTCATTCGTTAAGCTGCCCGCACAAAACTCCCCCTCATCCTTTCTACCAAGAGACCCGACGACCCAACTTGCATTCCCAACCCCATATCCAACGAAAGGCCTCGTCCACAGATTTCCCTTCACACATATACCTAAACCTGCTATCCGACACCATGGCAGAAAAGAAGGAAGTCGAGGAAGTCGGTAGGTTCGACCTTCTCGCCCCTCGTGCGAGCTGGTGGGATGTTTGCTACCCCGCTATCTGCATCACAATGGGCTTGATTTGCCAGCAGAAGAGCTCCAGCTAGGCTATGGCAGATTGACCAGTACTGACTCTCGAATCTTAGACTACACCCTCAACAACCCCGATACCCTGACCAAATACAAGAGCGCTGCCCAGATTTCGCAAAAGGTCTTGGAAGCTGTCTCTGCCTTATGTGTTGCCGGCGAAAAAATTGTCACCATCTGCGACAAGGGTGACAAACTCTTGGACGAGGAGATCGCAAAGGTCTACCGTGGAAAGAAAATTCTCAAGGGTAAATACACAATCTCCTGCTATTTGGGACCTGTCTAGACGGTCTCTGCTAATGCTTCAGATCAGGAATTTCACACCCAACTACCGTTTCCCCATCCTCATTTGTCACCCCATATACTCCTCTTCTATCCGATGAAGCCGAAGCAGCACGAACTTTAGAGGAAGGTGAAGCTGTCAAAATTCAACTTGGTGCACAGATTGATGGTTTTGGAACAATTGTCTGTGACACCATCATAGTCGGTCCCGTCGAAGGTCGTAACGTTGATCTATTGTTGGCCACATACTACGCAAATGAACTGCTCTTAAGATTGATGGTTCCACCTGGACTATTGGCAACCGGTACGGATGAGGAGAAGGCTAAAGCTGCCAAGGTCAAGGCTCCAACTCAAAGCAAGATTACCAGTCTTCTGGAGAAGGTAGTGAAGAGCTACGACTGCAATCTGGTTGAACACACTACCAGCTGGCAATTTGAGCGTAATGAGATTGAAGGAAAGAAAAAGATCATTCTTGCACCAGGTGATGGTACCAAGGGCGACGGAACTCCCGAGGTTGGTGATGTTTGGGGTGTTGAGATGGGTGTCAGTTTGGGCTCCGGAAAGATCAAGAACTTTGAGAACAGAGCAACTCTACATCGACGAACTACCCTCACATATGCGCTTAAACGACCAAGTTCGAAAAAGATTCTGAATGAGGTCGTAAAGAAGTTCGGCACATTTCCATTCAGTTTACGTCAGTTGGAGGACGAGAGAGACGCCAAGGTAGGAGTTGTCGAGTGTGTTCGAGGCAACGTCTTTAGACAATACGAGGTTGTCGGTGATAAAGACGGAGAGACAGTGGGCCGTCTGTTGACTACCATTGGTGAGTCCATATACATAAAGTTACTACCAATATATTGCATACTGATTATTATTTTTAGCAATCACCAAGAATGGTCTCCAGAAGCTTGCCGCACCACCTGCTCTTGACTTGTCCAAATTGAAGACGGAAAAGAAGATCACTGATGAGGAAGTTCTCGCAATTTTGGAGCAGCCTCTCGCTAAGGAGACCAAGGCCAAATCCAAGTCCAAGAAGAAGAAGCCAGCGAAGAAGGCTGCCGGCGCTGCAGCGGAGAGCAGTGATGAGGAATAAACGCGTGAATGAAGGACAAAATAGTCGCTTCAAACTTTATAGTGTAAGGGTTTCCTCCTGGTCATACTATTCTTTTTGAGCCTAGATACTGCTGCCAACACACTGCTGTGGGGCAAGTTCTAGGAGAGCTGCTCTGGTGGTGTTTTGTTCCTTGCCAAACAGCAGGACTTTCACCAGAGTATGTGTATCTGGACAATCCTCGGATTTTACTTGAAATAACTCAGGATTACCAATGCTGGGACAATAGCGTTTCTTGACTGAAAAAATAGAAATCTGTGCCAGATGTGGGGTTTTGTGTGTATATGGTGAATGTGAATGTAAGATTGGAAATCGCAAATTGCCACGCTGACAAATGGCTCATCTTTCATATAACGGTATTTCTCTGGGCCTTCATATCTACCTGACAGCAAGGCTGCTCATCCAGGCTTTTCTATATTTACAGTCCCCCAGACAGAAAACAGTCAGTCAACAATCCCAGCCCCTACTTTTCAATCTATGGTTTCGCTAGTTCGATCTGGAGTGATCTAGTTTGATCTGACCTACAGTTCTATCTAGGGTTGTTGAGGTCACTTCCAAGCAATCAGATTGAACTCCTTGTATCATTTCAGGGTTGATTTGCGTGTCAACTATCATTGTCGATCTACTCACAGTATTGTCTATTGTCCACTGTCTACCTTGGCCTGTTCAATTGTCGTGGTCTCATGCCATTCACCGCTCAGTTAACCAAGTGGATACCTACAATAGGGGATTTACGCGGACTTGTAAGAGAGCCAATGAAGGTGACTCATGGGGAGCCACCGTTCGGCTAATCCGGATTCTGGTTGGTTATTCAAGAGGACTAAGATAAAATGATGATGGAATGCGATATTTTCGCACTTAATAAGTCACATACAAAAGCAATACGTCTCCCCCGTCTCCCCTAGCCAGACCATGAGACAGGTGGAATTAAGCGAGATAGGGTTTTCTCACGCTTTTCCAAGCTTCCTCTTGAACACAAACAAACCTCCACACCTATCAACGTACCGCCCTCCAACAACCACCTCGGATCGGCCGCTTTCAGAGCCCAACACTGTTGGAACTCACCTTCAACACAAAGAACTGTCATCCCAAAAGTTTGTGCCCTTTTCTCCCAAAGTTGGCGCGTTGGCGCGTTGGTGATTGCCACGTGCCATTCGAGTGCACGAATCGCGGGTCTTCTGGGCAAGGTTCGCTTCCCCTAAACTCCGGGAACCTCATCGTCCAGGCCAGTACCAAATTCTCGCTTGCTCTCCTGAAAACCATCAAAACCTCCCCAACCACCACGCGTGCTTCGCCTTCGACTGCGCGATTACGGCAGGCCTGCATGATCCAAGGCATCGAGGAGTATAGAATTCTGACCCCGCATGTGCTACAATTACTAACTGCCGTCCAGTCTTGCTGTTTTTGCGTGTCGCAACATCGAAGGGAAAAGGCGATTCCAGGGCGAAGAAGACCACGAGAACCACGCCAGGAGCAAAGGCCATGCCAACTCCCACTTTCTCAGCGCGACCGACGCGAAGTCGCTACTCCAGCCCATTTGCAAATGGTACCGGAACCTCTGCCTCGGAATCCTCAAGTACAATGGCAGAGGCTGCCCCCCGACAGAAGCTTCTCACAGACATGTGGCACGAACCGGCAATTGCAGCACCTCGTCCCAGTTTCGCAGAGGCCGGATTTGAACGAGGGGTTACGGTAGCGAACATGGCTCCGCTGGGGACTCTTCCAAGCCAGAAAATCCTGAAGGCTGCGGGGAGAGGTGAAGTTCGGGATGGACTAGGACGGGTGAAGCAGTCAGAGGCTTCGCCAGCGACTACCCCCGAGACGCCTGAGCCCCCTATTTTAAATACACCACGTCGCTCGCCATCTGCGAGAGTTGAGGATACTTTACCATCACCAAAAACACCACAACACCACACAAGCTCACCTCCGAAGGTCGCTGAGAACGCTCAGAAAGAACCCTTGGATCGAGGCGTCTCCACAGCCGCATCAGCCGCTGTGTCAACAGCCTCGCAGTCCCCTCTACCATTGTCCCTCGAGCACAATCAAATACGACCGATGCTGCCCGAGCCATTCAAACCTGCCTATGTACCCGAGCTATCAGAAGAGATCGAAGACGACGACTCGATCATGGTCGACCTCGAAACCACCGACAAGGTGATTGAGATTGCCGTGGAAAGAGCTGTTACTTATCGTCGATACCCTACCGCATATGCTCTTCGCATTCTCTATGATGATAATCGAAACGACGATAGATTCGTTCGTCTGATCGAGGCCAACTTCTACTGTACAGCTTCCCACGCACAACGAGAGGAGTTCAACAAGCTCCTGAAAGAGAAGAAGCGAGAGGGCAAGAAAGACCGCACAGCAGAATATTACTTTATTGGTGATGGCAGTGATCCTCCACCACGCCCAGTTTTGTCAGCAGTCAGCGCGGCCCTTACCTACGATTCGCCCGCTGGTGCTGGTGGTATCCCCGCGTTGATTGAGCATTCACATGGTGCAGTCAATCCAGCCTCACCGCACGAATTTGATTATACACAATTGCTCAAGAAACAGAAGCAAACACATGTTTCACCATATCCGCCTATCTCGGCGGTCTTTGGCAATTACAACGGACCAAGCCTGGACAAGCCATACAAGAGTGTTTACAGCAGTATCTACGCCCAAAAGCCACCTACTCCAACTCAGAATGGGACACCAACGCCTGTATCGGCATCCGCACCGATTCTCGCTTCGTCTCCTCCTGTTGTCTCTGCCCCCACAGCGTCCATGACTCGAACTCGGTCAGGCTCCGTTTCCAGCTGCTCTTCTCTGTCATCGGTAGATGAAGATTTTATCCAGGAAAATGAGGGCGACTCCCAGGGCTTGCCAAGCGCCGTCGGAGATGTTCCCTCGCCACGTTCAAGCCGCAAAAAGCGAGCCGTGGTGGTCATGGAAAACGGACATGATCACGACCACCATGAGGCGAGCGGTGATGAGTACATCCATGACGAGGTCCTCGACGGAGTAGAGAAGCAGCCGGCGGTCGCCAGAGCGTGGAATTTCTCGGCACGCACCAACAAGAAGAAGGGCAAAAAGAGAAAGGGTAGCAAGGGCACTGGCACTGGCACTGGCACTGGGGGAAAAGCCGCTGCGCATGCATCAGCAAGTGCAACGGCACCCGGCGCAGGGCCGGCCAACAATACCAGGGCTACGCGGGCCAGCTCCAATTTCGCCAGCGCAAGCGACCACTCTCACAGCAATCTCCCCAGCTCTCGCATTTCCTCTCGTCATTCCACACAGGAGCCCCTGCAACTGCACAACAACCATCGTCAATCTTCGACGCAACCACAACCAATCCCCGCCACACAACCACCCAAGCCCAAAACAGGCCCAAAAACATTTACCTTTTCCACCGTGCCACGATCCTCGAATTCTGCAGCCTCAACACCAACGTCAACGCATCCTTCCGCTCCATCTAACAACAATACCAACTCCATCACGACGAGGAGATCAAACAACGCAAACGCAGCCAGTGCAAATGCCAAAGTTGACATGGCGCCGGCTCGTCTGGTCCAGGAATCGGCGCCTGCCCCTACCAAAGCATCTGAAAACAATCCTTATTTCCCCTCTGGAATTAAGCTGAAGATTCACAGCAAACATCGTGCTCCGCTAGAACCAGAGAGCGAAGAGACGATTCGTCTCAAGCGCGAGGCCAGGGAGAGAACTAATGGAGCTGTAATTCAGGAGAGCTTCGAGCGCCATCATGTCCAACCGCCTCAGGCCGACGAGACAGCCTCAGAGGGTGGTGATTTTGTTCCTCTACCCCTGTCAAGACGTCCTACCAAAAAGCGCATTCTCAACACAAGAGAGACGCGGAATCGCTACAATCACGGTTCTGAGAACAGTTCTCCTACGCAACTCTCATTCCAACCAGATCTGCCCTTTGGCTCAGTTTCCACGTCTCGTGCTGGTACGCCGTTGGTGGGTTCCCGCCCAACTCGCAAGGCAAAGGGCCCACGAACCAAAACCTCGTAAGTCATTCATTCTTCCTGTTTTTCACGATCAGTTTCTATCCCTCGAAGGATGCTGTATCCAGCCCTCATTGACTTGGGCACGGTTCCACGACCGAGAGCCATCCATTTTGTTGCCTGGAGGTTTGTGTGCGGTCGCACCGTGCAACCGGCCGAAAGTCTCTTACTGGCGGCTCACAGCGTCTTCATCTTCATTGCGAATTATTTGGAATAATGCTAACGCGTTTTTGCAACCACAGGCCCGAAAAGAAGAAAGGTGGTCCTTCTGGCGGTGAGCGAGGTAGCCCATCTGGTGGTCACGCTGGGGATAAGGTAAGAGATTCTTATTTTCACTTGTTTGCTTTATCCATTTCCATCTCACGAGAAGTCTGCAATCCTCTTAACATCAATCTCTTGCTCTTGGTTGCCAAAAACTACCACGATCAAGAGTTTGAGTTGGGTCAGCTTTTGGCTACAAAGTCTGTACCGGGGGGCAATGCCAATCTCTGCTCCGCCCTTGCCGAGCTGCCAAACCATGCGACCCCCACATCACCAATGAAACTTGCCACATTTCTTCTCTTTCCATTTTGATCCATCCAACTCCATCTCAATCCACCAGCCACATGACATCTCACGAGCTCCACAACTGACTGATGATTCAGGATGAGAACGACGATAAGTGCAGTGCCTGTAATGGTAACGGCGAACTTGTCCTGTGCGATGGCTGCACACGTTCTTTCCACTTCAAGTGTGTGGATCCGCCTATGATTGCAGGTGCCCCTGATCTCCCACCATCATGGTATTGCAATAAGTGTGACTTTGATCAACATCGTCGTCAAAATGAAGAGAACCCAAATTCCGCTTTTGGTGGACTTCTCTACAACCTCGAAGCCCAAAACCCAAGATCTTTCCGACTTCCTGAAGATATTCGTGGATATTTCGAAGGAGTCGTCACCGGTCCTGATGGTGAATATACAGAACCGCCAGCACCATCAAAGGCAAAGTAAGCATTCCATATTCCTACAAAATGAAATCGATTCTAACTCAACGCAGGAATAAGGGAGGCTGGCACGAAGAAGCACCTGATTACTTCCGAACAAAGGATTCCAAGGGCAAGCCCATTCTCTGTCACCACTGCAGTACCTCAGCATCTCCTCCCAATCGGATGGTCATTACTTGCTCTACGTGTGGTTTGTACTGGCACCTTGATTGTCTGGAAACTCCGATGGCAAAGGAGCCTCCTGCCGGAAGACCTTGGCAGTGTCCAGCTCATATTGATGATGTCCTATCCGTTCTACCTCTGAAGCTCGGACAAGCTCATCGATGGCGAAAGATTAAAGGCGCCAAGGCCATCGTCCCTGCAATTCCTCGTGGAACGAGAAACAATGGTCACATCGAGATTGAACCCTCACCCAGCGATGAGGATGAACCAAAGGGTTTCTATGAAGAGACTCAATTTGGCACCGTATACAAACTCCCAGAGCAAGGCCTCAAGCTTGATTTCATTTCAAAGTGAGTTTTTGCTGATCCATGTTGAAACATATTCTAATATGCGTCACAGAATCAAGGGCCAAGGCGGTGGTATTTCCCGATCGGGCTTCCTCAATCGAAGCATTCCATCACCGAATATATCCGTCTTCCATGCCCGAACCATTTCTGAACAGCAGGCTGCTCTCAACCTGGCTACTTTAGCTAGTCAAGCAGTAAAGTCGCCTACCCAGGAGCTCATCAAGACCTTACTGGTAAGCAGCACTGAGATGAATCCCCGTTTCATCCTCCGTCCTTTATGACGCAATCCACGTGCCAGGCTGACTAAATATGATAGGATAATGCCCCACAACCTGTTGTTGACCTTATGGCTGTGCCCGATTCAACCAACCTCACTCAGAATCTGAAAAATATTCAAGGGAAAGATAGACGAAGTTTGAAGGCTCTGCAGAGATACTTGAACAGCCAGTTAGGATCTGATGACGATGACGACGAGGCCCAACCACGAAAGTCCATCAAGAGAAAACGAAGCGAGGAGAGCAACGAAACATCATAGGGCTGCAAGCGCTGTCTGTCTTATCGATAACTCAGCTCCGACGATGTGCATGAACCTACAATTTCCCTTATGGAATCTTCAACATACGACACGTGATCTCAATTCCTGAGTCACATGACTGTCAACACGGAACTTTCCGGGCGATGTCGATATTGAACGGCCATAATCTTATTATGTCTCATAGCAATGAAGACATTATTCTCCTTTTCTTTTTCTCACATTGTTTTTCTTCTTCTTTTTTCTATCTGCATCAATCATGCCATCTCAGATGGGTCGGATCAATCGCATTGTATCATATGGCGTCTGCGGGGAAATCTTTTTTTTACACCAACTCTTTTTCAATCCGACATGTTCGCGGGTTAGGAAAAGGTGGTGACTGGTTTTTTATTTACCTGGATACCATTGAGAGCGAAGATCAGAAGGATCTCTTTTATTTTCTTTTTTCCTTTAATTTGAAGGGGATCAGATCGATTCATGATTGTGAGCGAGCGAAAGAGTGGCGAACGAGAATGTATCCGGGGAAGATGGGGTTTTCCACGAGAGAAAATTTGCGGTGCTTTCTAATGCTGATCAATGCCTTTGTGTATTTGGGGAGAGAGCAAAGAAAAAGGTAACTACTACCTTTTTTACATTAGATTTGATTGAGGGGTGGACGGATGGATGAGGGAAGGGGAGGGGAAAATGGTGGTTGGGGATGGGGGTTTATGGCGCGACTTTTCTCTTGTTATTGATTATAATATTTTTCTCTTTTTTTGCTCTCAAGAGCGAGCTTGCTTTGATTGGTCTGGTTGGTTGGTTGGTGGGGGTCGGGAGGACGGAAGGATGGAGATTGTACAAGTATGGGAGTGGATGAGGGAAATATTCTTTTGCATGGAAGGGTTGCGGAAATGATGGATGGACGGATGGTGTTTGGGAGGAAAAGTGAGCGAGCGAGCGAGTGAGCGGATGGATGAATGGATGGTGGATACGATACCTACATAGTTGTGATCAATCAATCGAGCGAGCTTATAATTCTTTTTTCTTCCTTTTTTTGTTGCTTTGGAGTGAGTGAGTGAGTGATACTGTGATGTTCGTTATATTATGTTGGATGAGTGAGTGAGTGAGTGGGGGTCTTGAATCTTCGAGGGTGGGTGGTGGCGGGCTCTCCATGTCGCCATTAAACCGCACATTTCACGCCTGTGCACCCTACTATCACCCTCTCTTTAAACTATTGAAATAAATCGCCAAAATACGAATTAAATCCTAACGTCTTCTCTGGCATCTGTTTTACTAGGGCAGCAGCGTAGGACTTTTCGTGGAGTAGTATAACTCCTTGATCGAGTTTACGGCGGTACTGTACTAAAGTGTGCAGTTTAATGCCGCCACGGAGAGTGCGGGCTTGCTTTAGTCACTTTAGTCACTGACTTGTCTATTAGATACCTATCGTAGCTAGAGTACCTCTTCCTCCCAATCTGGGTTTAGGTCGTTACCTGCCTAGCTACTTACTACTGTACTCCTTCCTACTCCTACTCCTACTTCCTTCCTACTTCCTTCCTACTTCCTTCCACTTTCTTCCTTGCCCCGCTAGTAAAACTTTTTGTGTCATCTTACAGTAAGATCACAGTATACTACCTACTACTTACAGCATAATCTCACCTGCCCGGTGCGGCGGTGCCCTGCTTTCCAAACTTTCTTTGAAAAGTGCAGAGTGAAAAGTTGAAAAATTAAGAATGTAATTGGGAAGCTTTTATGGACTGTGGACTATGGATACCTGGGGGTTAGGGAACGGGAATTGGGGATTGGGGATTGGGAATTAGTTTGTGAGGAGGGTGTGTGGGTAGGTGGGTAAGATTTAACGAGGTTCTGATTAGGCCATTGTACGGGGACTAGAGGATGGGACTTGGACGGAGAGTGGGAGTGGGAGTTGGAGTTTTGGGATGTGTAAGATGCAATACGTGATTGGCGTAGAGGTACAAGTGTAAGATGATGCGTTTTTATGTCTCTACTGTTCTACCTACCTAAACAACCTATGATTATTGCTGTAGTGTGAACTCATCGGGTCTGGGCAGTGGGGAACAGAATTTGGACCTGTGGTTTCGGTAGCTAATTGGAAGTTCTTGGGTGGGTAATTGTTTGCAGTTCGCTTCCTTCTTTGGGAGTGGCACTGCTTGTGGAAAGTGATATGGATATTGTGATTGGGAGCTTGGGGTTTATGAATACGGGAAGGGGGGCGGAGGGGAGTGGTGATGTTTTTAGGATCTTTTGAAAGAGAGAGAGAGGGAGGAAGCACAGCTTTTTTTTTGGTGGCTTACTATAGGGTATCGTATTGTTCTGGATTTATCAGAGGGTTTCTGAGGGCATTGGGGTTTATGATATTTGGGAATGGGGATGGGGATGAGGTTAAGGTTAAGGTTAAGGGTATAAGTAGGTTAACTTGAAAATTCTCTATTTACGTTTTATATTACAGTCCAATTACATTAGACCAATTCTGACAAGCTTGTTACAGTACTTATAAAGTTCTCAACCTATATATTGCTACATCAAACATGTACAAATTGCAAGACAACTTTGTTCCCCTTCGGACCCGCGCTAAATCCCTCACCTTGTTCGATGCCCTCCGCATCGATAATAGAACTCGTGTAATTCGTGTAGATAGCTGCGATTGCATGTTTCATTACTAAGTGCTAGTTATTAGTCTCGTTTCTTCTCAATTATAGGTAGGTAAACTCTTGCTTCACAGTCCTTCTCATACCAGGGAAGAGCGGAAAGGTGGCGTGAGAAAGATATAAGTAGCAACTCACACAACGTAGCAAAATGCCTCCCAATACACATCCTCCCCCCACTACTCCACGCCCAAAACCACCTCTTCATCTCCCCCAACCGCGCCTCATCACCCCCCATCCACCTCTCCGGCCTCCACGAACCCGGTTCAGGAAACACAGCGGGATTCATTTGTAAAACCCCAGCACTGGACTGGACTTTTACACCTCCAGGTATCCCCGTATATCCCGCAAGTGTATGTGTACCCATCTTCGGCGTGACTCTTCGCTGACCCCCCGCAACGACGGGCCACCGCCTCAGCGTCTCCTGCAGTATGGCGTCCAGGATGGGGAGGGCATCGACGCTTTTTGGATGTGGGGAAGAGATAGGGTTGGTGAGGTCGTGGGGGTAGAGGAGGGGAGGGGATAAGGAGAGGAGTTCGGCGCGGAGGGAGGCTTGCAGGTCGGGACGCTGGGAAAGCTCGTAGTACACGTATGCTAATGTGATACCGGCTGTTTCGATGGCAGCGGCTTGGTGATCGAACATTTCACTTGCGAGATCTAGTTTCCTCGCATCATGAGGATGCTGTTTCTCTTCTTCTCGTCCGACCACGTTCTCAGGATCAACTTTTTGGAATGCGCGTCGAAGGTGGGAATACACACTTGGTGTATCCCCAGCCTCGAAGACTTCCTCTTGTGCAAGTAATCTCTCCACCTCCTCACACCGCAAAATATTCCAGGTTTCCAGCGCGGAAATAGAAGTCTTGCACGCTCTCGGCACTAGGTTCACGCCCAAGATCCCGAGAAAGGCGGCGAGTTGTGGTTGCTCGGTAATCCAATATAAATACGGACGCGAAGCGAAAAAATGCCCCAGATACCATGTCCGCGTATCGACATCTTGCAGGAAATTACTACTCAGTTTCCTGCCAAATTGGTAGGCCGTGAAGAAATCCATGGCGTAGGCGTAGCTGAGCGTCAAGACCTCGAGGGGCATTTGGGTATCGGCGCTTTGGTGGAGAAGAGGGAGGAAGCGGGTGTGGAGGATGGAGAGGGTGTTGGTTTGGATGGTAGGGGAGGTGAGGATGTGTGATTTGGAGTAGATGTTTGAGAGCATTCTTTTGCGGATGGAGTGGGGGTGGGTTTCTTGGGTTGTGAACATATTTTTGGTTCTATGAATTTCCGGGAGGAATTATTATCTTCCTTTTCTTTCTTCGCTTTTTTTTAAATTAGGGAAAGAGGGAGGACGGGGAGGGAAGCGAACTGAAAACTAACCCATTATAAGCCGCAAACCTCCTCGGATAATACGAAGTCTTCTCATATCCACCACCAAAGATCGTCTTTATCCCCCCCTCATAACAATTGATACTCAGCTCATTAGGACCAATTCGTAAAATCGGCCCCTTTTGTTGATGTAATCGGAAGAGAGTCCCGTTCTCGATGTTGAAGAAGCGAATGTAGTTTATCCATACTGGGAATATGTGACATGACGGATGCGCGGAGGGGATTCTCGAGAGTGGGGAGAGGAAGAGGGGGGTGAGTATGTATTTGTAGATCACGATGAGGATGAGGAGTGTGCTGGCCAGGAGGGACAAGTTGAAATTGGGAGGTACTGTGATCTCCATTTTCGAACGGATATGTGGTGGAGGTTTCCACTTAATTACTCTACGTTCTTATTGACTTCTAAGACGTATCAGTTGGTTGACATGAGAAAATGGTACTAGCATCACACCCAGATGCGGGGGGAGATGAAAATTGCTCACAGCAGACACTTCTAGATCATGACAGAAGGTTTGCAGAAAATCCCTTTACCTTGGTTGCAATAAAATCTTGAGGAACAGGAGCTCTCTGGAGCTCCAGAAGCTATTTTCATCTCATATCGAAGCATACATAATCTTTGAGGACGTCGACGAAAGTTGCAACCGCTAGTGCTATCTCGATGTAACCCAACTCTTGTCACATGAATGATCGGTATGCAGTAAGCATGCACTATGATATAACGGCCAATGGACGTCCATTCCTACAGCTCCACCATAATATAATGGTGGAAGCAGAGTATATTAATGCCAATGGCAGTACTCGTACAATGCATTATTACTCTTCTGAGTGATTCGTGGGCTTTCCTACACGAAAGGCCATTTGAAGGAGTCAACACCAGAGAACCACGTGAAGCACCCCTGGATTATTCCAGAGTGATGAGATGAGAGATTTGTTTGTTTTCAAGAGGAAATGAATGGAATAAGGCCTCCAAATTTGCGCTTCTGTTGGCTTTATTCAACAGATTCCCATTCTCACATCGACCCCCACCAAGGCAGTGTACCACTCGGCTTCCTTCGCAGAATATCTACCATCAATTATCTTGAATACTCACTACATTCACTCCACTTCCCCAAGAAGCCAAACAATCCAAAAAATCCCAATAATCCAAATAATCCTCCACCCCCAGCACCCCCGACCTGACCCACAAACCCCCAAACACACCATCAAATACCCAAATAAGACATCCTCACCCATCTCACACCGAACCCAGGATTAGCCAATGTAGTTGGGCACCGGTCTGAGCGGTACACATCGCCGACAAAGTCATCTTAACTTTAAAAATCCCTGCCCCTATCCCTGGGATTTTCTATGGGCCTAGCACTTCTCCTTGAAATAACAGGATTGAAGGTACGGCCTTGAGTTTTGCTGGTTGGTTTTTTAATATTTTTTTAGGACTTGTGGAGGGGGCGTGAGAGAGGGATGAATTGGTGTGGTGGTGTTTGGTGGGTGGGTGTGCGAGATTGGGGTGAGGTGAGTGAATTATGAGGGTTGAAAAGTCATGGTTAATATAGGTCTCTTCTCTTTTTCGTCAGAAAAGCCGTATTACTTGTATTTCAAAACGCCAATCAAGAGGCGGTGGTCTTCAGTATCTCCCAAGCAGGTTTTTTGGTTTGCAGAAACGAGTCTAGGGACTTCTTGGAAGAATGTAGATTGTACAGTAAGGTGTCAGCTTGGAGATGGTGACTTGATGACTGGAGGAGACGGATGGGGTGAGGTTTGAATTCTGGTGGCGCCTAGGATTCATCGTATGTTAGTGTCTTGTTCTTGAGAGGTTGTTTGGTAGAATAGACTTACAACTCCAAACTATTGATACAGTACGCATAAATTCCTTTACGAATGAGTTTGGTTCTCGATTCGAACATCAGAAATTCTCATTTTCATGAGACTTTCTTTGACATTGCTTGTATGACCATAGCTATCCTCCGTTGAGGCTCTGTGCAGAACTAAAAACATTCGACATGGATATCGGTTGGATTGCCATGAATCATTCTTCCCTGGTATCTTTCACGTCCACTGGAGCCTCAGGATGACTTGTATGATGCTCAAAAACATAGCGAATCAGTAACGCGATAGCAGAGAAAATGCCAATCGTGAAAATGAATTGCGATTCCATGCTGAGGGCAGTCTCCATGATGCTGAGTACGAATGCTTTAAACTGTACATAAGATGAAACTTTGGGGAATTTCAAAAAGACGAAACCATACATTGGAAGATACAAATTCAGATAAATACAAAGAATATAGTAGAATGGAGGATAGATAACAAAGACCCATTACACCAGAAGCAAAGTAGACTCTCTTCATAGCGTCCAGGAATTTCCCACTTGGGCCTCGGAAAGGTCACGTGTATCGAGCCACATCCTCTTAGAGAACTTTCCCACTCAAAGACAACATCTTTGTGCCATCTCAAGACAATACTAACGATCGTATTGCCAAAAAACTCAGCATGGCCAATAATAATGACAGTCATCTCTCTGCTTGATTTTCCAGCCTTCGCTCTCTCAGACACGTGGCATGATAATTCTTCTTGGCAGCCGAGATCTCCCTCGGCACAGCATTGTTTGGAATGACGACAAATGCTTCTTCTGACTTCGGATAGCAGGTCTCTGGGGATATTCCCTTTTTGGTTGGTAGTTGGGTTGTGAACTTCTGGTGATATAAGAAGACTAGGCTAGCGTCATTGGTCGACTTAAATATCGCTGCCGTTGTTGGATACCTGGTACACTGCCGCCTTTGTGATTCCTCTGCTTGGAAAGTGTTGGTTGAGTTTTGGAAGAGCGAGGAATAAGAGGCGAGAATGATGAATGAATTCATATACCTCCCTCGTGTCATCGCTACTTTGTTCTACTTTCTTCGACCGTATGTTTTGGGACCAGAACCTCATTCCCATCGAGAAATGGGAGAGTGAACAGGATGCCATGTCTAGCTAGGCTGGCAACAGGCCATTTGAGCCGCCAAAAAATTCCAATAAATTAAACCACTAGATATTATGATGTTTTGTCTATCTAAAACAAGGTTTCCTCCGTAACTGTATATATCTTTTTGGGACAAGTTGTACTATATAACCTAGACACTTCCTATCTCTATATCCCTCAACAATCTCAAATTTCCTAACTGGTCGCCACTAGTACAAATACAACAAACTTCTCAACCATGCAGATCCAATTTACAAACCTCCTTATGATCGTCTCCGCAGTCATGGCAGCAACACCACGTCCCCAATTTTGCAACCTAGGGCAACAAACTGCGCCTGAAGGAACAAGTTGTAGTGGAGCAGTTTTATGCGTACATCTTCCTCCCGCCCCTCAGGACCACAATATCGTAAAAGATCGAATCCACTAATGAATACATACGCAGTGTACCGATGCCGGTAAAGATACCTTCTTTTCCCAGGAGATCACGTGTGAACGTATTTTCGTCCCGCCGAATGGATTCGCTCATACCTGTACGGATAAACCCGCCGGTAGTGAACCCAATAAAGGGGTAAGTTTTCTGCCTTCTCTTTTCTTGCGTTTAGGTGCGATTATGGTGCTAACTTTATGGGGGTGTAGCGTCTTTCTTGTTGTCCGGCTGTTCAGTAGTAGAACCAAAATATTTATTATACATACGAAGACATCTTTTACTACTAGTATATTCCTAGATACATGAAAAATGGTGGTGTTTATGTTAGGTGGAACAAGCGACTTGTAGATTTAGAATTAATAAGTAGAGATTTTACGTCACGTCCATTTGTATGGTGCACTACGAATATAGCCAGTTTACTCTTCGGAATAGTATTTTTTAATATTCGATTGGCGAGCTAAACGTTCTATAGACTTGATACAAATCGGTATTCGCAAAGAGCGTAGAACTCTAGTTAGTATAGTAGACTTTAAATGTACACTTTGAACCGAACAGACCTTTATAGTAAATCTCAAACCCATTACTACTCGTGGAACTATTAAAGAGACAGAGCGTTATCCCTTCCAGAGTATCGAGGGAGAGAAAAAACGTGTACTTCAAGTGGAGTAAAAGTATCTACTTTTAGAATACATTCCCCGTAAAACACATTTATTCGGCCAACTACAGTATGCAACGTCTTAGCAATTGAGCCTCAATTCGACCCAGTCATAGTATCCACTTATATCCACTTTACGTACACATCTTTTTGCTCTCTCGATACTCTGGAAGGGATACTTTAGTACCTCCTCTTCTCTTAGTCAAAGTATAATGAGCACTGCAATGGATCTGTTCAACGTAATTTTAAACTTTTCTCAAAGAGAGAGATCTCTCGTTGCAAATTCCCTTTATAGGTCGTACAAACCATCTCCAGCCCTTCTGTGTTGCCAAGTATCCCCACTGCGGCCACGCGACTACCGAAATGACAAGCCACTCCCGCGCCCGTCAGCTGCACTGAATCCTACGAACCACCTAACAATAATGCCCCGAGAAGACCGAGGGCTTCCAACCCTATTCGCTAGGGCGATCTTTCTATGTTCTTGGCTTTACGTTAACGTTACGCGGGTCCGGCGTTTTTGGCGTTTTTGGGCTGGTGTTCGCCTAAAGCTTGAGGGACGTCCGTGATCTTTTTGTCTGGACAGAACATAGATGAGGTTCGGTCCGGGATCTGTAATCTCAAACCCTGGTGTATCATGACCAACGTCCCGCTAGCGATTTTTGTTTCCTCTTCTGTACGGGTGATTGGAGGAACATTGCCAAACCTGCGGGTTTTCCTGGGGAAACTGTTTCTGGAAGGTTGCTCCAAGCTGGGGCCGGGTGCTCTCTTCAAATGAGAAACATGATGCACGTGCGAAGGGGGCATCCAGAGAGCCCAAGACCTCTGTGAACGTTGCAGTATGGCCTTTTCTTCATACTGGCCAAGATGTTTGGTATTGGGATTTTGAAGCACTTGTACTGTAACTTGGATGTGGATGATTGAAAACCGAGTTGTGCTCGGTGTTGCTTTCTTCATGGCATGGTTCCCTCGGCTTGTCGGCTTGAGCCCTTTCGTCTCACCAGGAGGAGCTTCCTTGAACCCAGAGATTGACATGAAAAACCCTTCAGGAATAGCAGCACCGCAAAGTCTACCCACTCCCCAAGCATCTGAATGGCGTAATTCGATACAAGGGCCTTGCGCCCTGTACTTCAGATCATGGGGCTGTATCCCTACCTACATAAAGATGTCAGACGGCTGGACCTGTTATATCTTCAAGGTACCTGAAAAGGAAAACAAGTCGCATGTTCTTGTCTTCTGAGCTGTCTCTCTGCCTATTCACTTCTATCGCCAAGTAATGCGGGGTACGGGGTAAAGAAATCATCTATTGTCTTATATATTTCCTATCCTTGAAATTGGACAGTGAATTTGGGAGCTCGGTACAATTACTCTTTGGTGATTCATTTCTTTGGCTTGGTACGATACCCCTCATTGCGTTATATAATCTCATAGACTTGTGTCTCTTGAGAGTCTAGACTTCCATTTCACCAAATTGTCTTCCTTTTCTCGCAATACTAACATACAGGTTTCTAGTGGATTACAGCTCTACTTCATTGCGTGTTTGCTTCTGCTTCTTCTATCCTCAGTTGAGCTAGTAATAATCTTCAGCAATGAAGCTCCAAAAGATCGTGGCGGCTGGCCAGAGCCTTCTGGGAATTGTCAATTCGGCGACGACCTTCAAGCCAAGTCGAGCACCAGCAATTCCTCTTGCTGGTATGTCTATCCAAATATATTTCTCGAACTCTCTAACAAATTGATAGTCAAATCCCCATATATGAACACATGGCTTGAGGTTGGCAGCAGAGGTAACGGCGAGCTTGCAGGAAATTGGCCGTAAGTAATAAATCAGAATAAAGGGAGATCTCTTGCTAACATCATCACAGGCGATTCTGGGCGTAGGTCTTTCTTCCCACTCTTGCAATTCCAACTAACCATATTAGTGCTCCTCAACCAGGTGATGTTGCCGGTACTACAGGAGCTGTCACAGGTTGGGCAGGACTCATCAAAGTTGACGGTACTGTCTACACATGGATGGGCGCACCAGCAGTCGATGGAAACTTTCCCCAAAACGTCGTCCAAAATAGTGTTGAGTATACGTCACAAAGCTCAATTTTTACTTCGACCGCCGGAAAGGTTAACTTGAAAGTCACGTTCACCTCGCCAGTCACCCCCACGGATTTCCAAAGGCAATCCGTTATTGGCACTTATCTTAAGGTCGAAGTTTCTTCTAATGATGGTGCTACGCATAATGTGCAGGTTTATGCTGATACTTCTGCTGGTATGACTCTGCGTCCGAGATGACTGGATTGTGAGATGAGCTGACGATATTTAGAATGGGTTTCCATTCACAACACTGATGTTGCTGAGTGGAGGTACGTCACCTGACCTCGTGATAGAAAAAGTACTGATTGGCGCAGCTTCTCTGACTTAAATGGAGTTCTCTCTCATGCTTCATGGCGCCAAGTCCAAAGCGAGTTCAACGCAGACTACCCTGACGATGCTGCCCATTGGGGTAAATGGTATTGGTCTACAGGTTCTGACTCTTCCGTTACCTATCAATCTGGTGGACACCAAACAGTCCGAAGAAATTTCATACAAAATGGAAAGCTTCCAAGTACCCAGGATAACAAATTCCGAGCTATCGATGATGACTACCCTGTCTTTGGCTTTGGTAAGTTCGTTTGATACCTAGGAAAATGATCTGATTAACAACTCCTCATAGCTCAGGATCTTGGATCTGTTGATAGACCAGTTAATATACTCTACACAATAGTTCATGCTCAGTCAAATGCTGTTACCTTCCTAGGTGCTCAAGGACAAGTCTCAGTACCATCATTGTGGACAAGTTACTTTAATTCAGACGCAGCTCTGGTATGTCCACTTTCAACCTCCAAAGAAACCAAAAGATTGATTTTCAACTAGGTTGAATTCTTCTACAAAGATATCGGGAGTATCTCCAACGCAATCGACGACAAAATCCAATCCGATTCCATCAAAGCCGGCGGTCAAAACTATGCAACAATCACCACCCTCTCTACCCGACAAGCCCTCGGAGCCGTCCAACTAGCCGGCACCCCCACAAAACCCTACCTTTTCCTCAAAGAGATCTCCTCCAACGGCAACAGTCAAACAGTCGACGTTCTCTTCCCCGCAATCCCAATCTACCTGTATCTCAACCCCACCCTCGTAAAACTCGTCTTGGATCCTTTATACGAAAACCAAGAATCCGGTCACTGGCCACACACCTACGCAATTCACGACCTAGGAACCAATTACCCGCGAGTAGTCGGCCACCCAGATGGGAACGCAGAGGAGATGCCAGTCGAAGAATGTGGGAACATGATCATTGCCACACTAGCCTACTATCAAAAAACCCAAGACACGTCGTATCTTCAAGCGCACTACAACATCATGAAACAATGGACGGGATATCTAATTCAAGATTCTCTGATTCCAGCGCATCAGCTAAGCACCGATGATTTCCAGGGACCTTTGGAGAACCAAACCAATCTTGCGATCAAGGGTATCATCGCTATCGGTGCAATGGGGAAGATTGCCGAGACGGTTGGACAGCAGGATGACGCGAGGAATTTCACGGCTATAGCGAAGGATTACGTGGGCAAGTGGGTGGATTTGGCCATGACTATGGATGGGGGGTTGCCGCATACGAACCTGGCTTATCAGGATCCCAAATCTCATGGTATTTTCTCCCTTCTTTTCGTCTCTCTTCCCACCTCGAGAGGTGTTCTTTTTGATTGGTGCAATGCTGATATGATATGGTATCCAGGTCTCCTATACAACATCTACGCCGACAAACTCCTGAACCTAAATATCGTCCCTGCACCCATCTTCCAACAACAAAGTGATTTCTACCCCACGGTCGCACAGAAATACGGCGTCCCATTGGATACGAGAAATATGGTTACAAAATGTAAGGCTTTCCTTTCTCCTTCCCCTTCCTTCTCCCTTCCCACAACCCTCTCATCCCACACCAAAATCAAGAAATCAAGAACAACAACAAGAAGAACAAAACTGACACCCTCCCCCAAAAGCCGACTGGGAAATCTGGACCGCAGCCGTAGCCAACGGCCCAACAAAAGACTTCATCATCGGAAAGATCGCAACGTGGTTAGCGGAAACACCTACGAATCGTGCGTTTACGGATTTGTATGATACTACGAATGGGGAGTAAGTCTTTCCCCTTTCCCCTTTCCCTTTTCCCCATTCTCTAATTCCAACCCTGAACCCCCTCTTCTTGAAATGATTAGTAGTGTTGATATGTTTTCCTCCCCACAGTTTCCCAGGAAATAAATTCATCGCTAGACCTGTTGTTGGTGGGCATTTTGCGTTACTCGCTTTGTAGTCAGCCAGCCATTTTTTGGTTCGCCGCTTTGCTCCTGGGTAATGGTGTATGCGTGGTTTTCGTTGCAGATTCTTGGGGGTTTGCGTTGGGTTCTAAGGAGAATTTACAGATGCTTTTTTGGATATGGAGGGTGGGAGAAAGGTGATAGTGAGGAATGTGAGCTTTATGGAATGGAAGGATGCAATGGATGGCAATGAAGGGACAGTAATGCAAAGTAATACGAAATAATGTTTATATCCCCTCCTCCGGTTCCCTTGCCCATTTTCTTGATTGCGTTTTGTGACGTTATATACCTACCTGTCTACCTGACTGCATAGTGATTATTAAAGATCATTTCAGTAAGCGAGTTTTTCTTTTGTACGTGGGGTTGGTTAACTGCTTTGATCCAATGAGTCCTCGTTAGCTAAGGGGTAAGTAGGGAGTCTTATAAGATAACCCTAACTGAGTAGAAGGCTCTAGAGTTCTAGGCATCCACCTAGGTAACCGAGACAGGGGGTTTGGGCAGCAGAGAGAGGAGTCTCGGCTAAAACCGACATATTATAATAATAGTATTTTACTAACGTTTTCATTCATAAGTACTGCTTAAGTAGTTGAACTTACTACATAACTTTACTTGATTCTACTTAACTTAAATACTACTTAAGTAGTACTGAAATATGTAGTTGATCGTTTTCTTGATATACTGTGATTACAACACTACTTCGTCCAAGGCGACACTATTATATACTGGCCTCGTCAAAAGCAGGGTTTTATTTGCTTGCATCCACTTACAACAGTTTAGCCTAGGACGAAGTAACATTGTGAGTCGGTGAGTGTTTGAGTGTTTTTCATGGGAGCTAAGCCAAAATACTACTAAGGCTCGTGCTTGAGTGGATGTGAAGCTATTCCCGATTTCTTCCCGAGTGATGACTCTAAGGGATGCCCACTGGCCTACCAATTCGCCTTACAATAAGTACCGCTGTAGAATTCAACTTTGTTCCGATTGTTTGGTATATAAATACTGTCTTCATCAGCTTCATCGTCTTCCCATCTTCTAAAATAAAACCCAGTATCTCACCCAAAAATGTCGTCAGACTTCAATTTCACCTATTCCCGCGAAACGACCATCCACGCTTTCCGCGACTACTACCGCTTCCTTATCCACATGTTCATGAACGAATCCAAAATCATCGAGCCGCCCGAAGGAGGCTGGCCCGACATCTCACCTGCATTCAAGGACTACACGGGAAAATCAGACTCTGTAATAGACTTACTACGCCATTTACCTTATAACGACGGCAAAGTTGAAAGTAATGGGAGCCCAGATGATCGCTGGTCAGACTGGCAGGACCTGGCTAAGCGTCACATTGGTAGTCTACCCTTCGGAGAACATCGCAACGAACTTATCAGCCGCGAGAGTCTCCTTGCTAAAACTGAACCTCTCGGGGAATACAGGGCGAGGGATGATCCCGATGACCAAGTTATACCGAGCCATGCTGTTGGCATGACATGCGGCGGGCGAGAAACCTGGCGTTTCGTTCTCGACACCAAACTCGGCACGATTCATTCGGAGGGATGGAATGGAGGAGATCACCACCAGCGGGACGTCAACGATCCATTCTATGTGCCCCATGTATGCGGAATTGACGGAGATGAAACTGAAAATGAATTGGGCTGGCGTGAATCTTATGCAGCGTGGCCGATTCCGGATTTTTTCAGGCTTTTGAAGATGAAATACTGCATGCTGGAATGGATCCCTACCACACCCCATCAATCCCTACCACACCCCATCAGGTGATAAGTTATAGGTCATATGTGGACCTTGAGGGGTTTGAGGGGGAAATGGTTGATGAGTTGCGTGAGATTTATTGGGCGCACGGCTGGTCGCTAAAGGAGGATAGCTTGGGTACCGATAGTTTGTATCGTAAGGAGTGTCTTGAGGCTATAAGGAAGACTTTGGCTGAGAAGTATCCTGAGTTTTGCACTCTTGTTTGTTAATTGATAGATTGGTTTTGAAATAGTTACAGTAGTTTGAGTTTCAAGATTAGTGTTATTCAATGATACCATATAGAAATAAAAACAAACAACTGGTACAGTTACAAAATGGTTGTCCTGAGATCATATCTTCTATGCTAGAACCAAGTATTACCGCACTCTACGACGTGCCCTTAGAGGCTAAAGCCCTACATTCTAGTAGTTGTCGCCATTCTTAGCTCTCTCATTGTTCCCCTCGTCATCTCCTTCGTTGTCCCCCCCATGCTCATCATCTTCATCATTCTCATCCTCATCATTCTCATCCTCATCATTCTCATCCTCATCATTCTCATCCTCATCATTCTCATCCTCATCATTCTCATCAGCTACTGGATCATCGTTATCCGAGTCATGATCATTATTTGGCAAACTTAGCACGTTGTCTGTAGAGCCTCCATTGTATTCGAAAACGTTATAAAGAGAAGCCACGGAGAAAACATACCTCTTCCGCCAGTTAGTATGGGATCAAAAAGACCCTAACTTAAGCTAGCTCTCAGAAAAGAAGTAACAAAAAAGGGGCTTGGTAGATTTTCATATTCTTGAAACGACGTGTCTTGGGTCAGGGTAGGAAGATGGTATTTAGTTTCTTCATATCAATAGAAGATAAAGAAAAATAGGGTGATTAGATTAGAGGACAGCCATGGATTCCTGAAGACCTGGGAGGTGTCGGATATAAGTATAAGATAATGGAGAGAATGGAATGGCGGGATTAGTATTGTATTTTGCACTGCTTTTAATTGTATAAATTGGATCGATAAAGACGCTTTTACTTTGAATAAAGCGACTTTTTAGAAGCAGCGGTTGGAACAGGGTGGAGGAAGATGAATGATTTTCTTATAGTATGTGTGTACAAGCCATTACTATATTAAGTATTTAGGTGCCTGAATTACCAAGTACAGAATATAATATACAGCTAAAAAAACCATCGAAATTGTCCTCTATTTTATAAGCTAACAAAAATAACTGACTTCCTTAGCCCCCATCCTCTCCTATACTGTAGTAAATTATCGAACAGTATCCCATTCCACCTCTACTTCAATATGAAACCCATTAGAAACTACAAATAGCCTAGAAACACTAATCTTGCCTCGGCAAAGTACTGTAAGACATGCAAAAATTAATCATATAATAGACTAGTAAAGTGAAGTCCTCTTGTAGCCAGAACGACCTTGCTCAAGAATCCCCTTGCGTACGTCTGGCTCGACGGTTAAGCGCTAGCAGCTATTCTGTATCGGGATTTCCTTTAATGAACTTCCGGCGTATGTTGGATTTAAAAGAGAGATGAAATGGATGAAGGCAGTCTAGTAAACTGCAGCCTGCATGAGATATACTTGATGGTTTTGCTTTATTGTAATTTGCTAATTTTGGGAGTAGGGTATTCTTCGTATAGGAGATGCGGATAAATTATATGAAATATAGAGGGAGAGGTTGAAGTGTAGCTAAAGGTATGCTTCCTCAATAAAGCTTTCTAAGCTGGCATGTATACATAGTGATTAACTCACACTACTTACAAGAAATCCTAGATAAGATCCTACAAACCCATCTCATATCATAACATCAAACAATTCACTTCATCATCCTTTCCCTCACTTTAACACTTAACACCTAACACCCAACCCAACCCAACCCAACCCAACCCAGCCCTATCAAACCACAAGAAACCTTCTCGATGAATCGAGGGAGTATATATACAAACAACACTATACCTATCTAAAGGTCTTGCATTTCCATAACCCCACCTGGTCGAGTCTCGGATTACCTGGAACAGGAACGCTAGTAGGAATGGATAGATAGTAATATTCTACATGCGTAAGATTGCATGAGGAACCCTCTTTACCCTTTCGAGTCCCTAGACATCTTTTTCCCAGGCTATGTATATACCTACGAACATCCACTCGCCAGCATCCACCTACCATATAATATTCAACAATAACATGAGCTCGTCCATAAACCATTAGATTTCCACCATACTGTCTGGACATATGTAGATACATCATCACCTCCACGATTTTCCATGCGAAAGTTCGTGTTCACTGTTTATGGGTGATATACTCGTAATAATGATATGATTTCATATGATATAGAGAATTTCCCCACCTGGTACCTGGAGCATACGTGCGTAGCGTAATATACAAGTCCCACACAAGTCAAGTTGTTAACCCAGTTCATCCTCCAAAATCATCTTCCAAAACCCCCAGGCCCGACGCCCATAATCCAAAGCCCAATGCTAGCTCGTTTGTTCATGAAAGTAGAACTAAAAGTAGAAGTGTCGGTAGAGGGGTAGAGCGTCAGAGCCAGAAGTCCTTCTTGCGATGGTTGTATGGATAGCGTAATGCGGAGTCTAGTGGGATAGACCACAAGACAACAACATCCCCTAATTGGAAACCTCAAAGTTATCACGTTTATTAATATCCTCAAGAAAGAGAGAGAGAGAAAAAAAAAAAAGAGAAGATGGTATTAGTCATCACATCAAACACAGCCATCAAATACTGTAGCTGCCTCGAACTAGAACTATCTTACTACTTAATCCTACAACCCAGCTCTCTCTCTCTCTCTCTCCCCACCCCACCCCCACCCCCTCAAAACCACCAAGAAACCCAGTAACCAACTCACACCAAACTCAACCTCTCAAGCCTCAACTTCGCCCCCTCAACCAACGCCGTCTCCCTTTCCAACGCCTTCATAATCTCCCTCTCCTTCCTCCTCCTCACCTCACTCGGAACCTTAACACCCATCTTCTCACCGGGGCCCTCATTCCCATTCCCATTACCCGGCGTGCTCGGGACCAGCGCACCCGCCAGCGCCTTCACATCCTCCAGAATAACCTTCTCCAGCTCCTGGACTTCCTTGAAGCGCTCAAAGGGCTCGCGGGCAACCTCTCGTCGTCCACCGACACTTACGCTCACCGGCTCGCCTTCCCCGAGGACCTTCCATTCGTACTTGCGGATCTCGTCAACCCATTCCCTCTCGCGGGGCGTTAATTCCTTCCCTGCTGTGCCTTTCAAGACTTTCTTTTTGAGTCTCTCGACGCGTTCGGTAAGTTCCTTTTGTCTCCCCTTCGCCCGCATAATTCTCGTGTCAATCGCTTCGTCTGTGCTAATGGTCCCCGTCCCTTCCTCATCTTCTTCTCCAGCGATAGCTTCCACGCGTTGCGCAACATCATGAGCTTTCTTGATCTGGCTTTGTAAATCGATTTGCAAGAGTTCACACCGACGGAAGAGCTCTGCGGCTGCTACACCAATATGGTGCGTTTCATCCCCTAGGATAATGTGTGCTTCGTTCATGATTTGGAAGGTAGCTTTCGATAATCTCACATTCTCTTTGAGAATACGTTTATGAGGACTGTGTCTCAGGTTCTTGAGGAGGTCTGGGAGTTTGGATGGTTGTTCGAGTTCGTGGGGTGCTTGGTAAACAGGACGGGGTTCGCAGAGGATTAGTGGTTTATCGGGTTCTGATTCGTAGGTGTTGGAGCAAGATCTTTGAATCGGGTTGTAATCCTCGACTTCGGGAAGTTCGAAAGAGATGGATTGAGGTCCGTATTGAGTGGCTGTGAGAAGAAAGTAGCCTAGATCTGGATCGCAAATTACGGTACTTGCAGCTAGAGATAGTGTGTGATCGTTGGGCTTCGCCTTTCCTGTGTATACCCGCTCACGTAGCGTGCTCTGTCCTTTCACTAGAACATCGAGTCTAAATTCTCCACCAGCTGCTTCACCACTCAACTCTGTCTCTAGACGGAATACCCATGGTGAGAGTGATATGAACGTAACGGTCGAGGTGTTGGTGACAAATAATGAATACCCAGAATTGACATCCTGACTAAACATTGGCCAGTTTCCATCCCACATCTCTTCGCTTTTAAGTGTATCCAGAACCTGGAAAGTCAAAAGCTCCGGAGGATCTGCCTCATCGAGAATTCTCAGAGCCTTTGATTTGGATTTTGGCAGCCATTGAGCCTCAACACCATCCAGATCAAGGCAAATGCAGAGACGACCACTAGGTCTCAACAAACAAACAACACCAACCGAGAGGCCACCCTCCTCATCAATACCCGGCAATTCCAAGTCATCTTCCTCTCCACTCATCAACTCTTCAGAATCAATCTTTGGACCAATAACAAAAATATCAGTCAACATATCATCTAGACCATCCTCTGACTCCTCAGGAGCAAGCTCAAACTCAAAAGGTCCTTGAAGCTTCGGTACTTTTCCAGGTTTGGCTGGTCTAATATAAACCTCGACATGTGGTTCCCCTGAACCATATTCTTGGTAAATAGGCTCTTGATTATCCAAATCTCCCATCCAAGCAATCTGTTGTTGAGCAAGTCGACTTTGCTGTTGCGAAACATTTAGTTGACCCTCCATAGTAGCCGCTTTTGCAATAACCGAAATCGACAATGATGGAATCAAAGTAGCTGGCGGGGACCATCTCTCCGGTAGGAGAGGGCAGAGGGCGTAAACATCTCCTTCCTTCATGGCAACCCATAATGTCATAGGTGACCAACCTCCACTGTTTCGACCAGCAAAGCAAGCTGATGCTACTTCCATCTCAATCGAATCTGGTGTGAAACCCTTACTTTGTCCTGACACGGAAGCTCCAAAGTCCTGATCCAAGGAGGTACCATCGGCAAGTTTCTTCAAGTCGATCGAGAGTGTTGGTTTATCAAATGAGGAATGGTTTCCGATCGTAAGTTCCCAGACTCTTACAATCGCATCTTCCGTCACCGTAACCAAACATTGGCCTTGAACTCCCAAGGGATGCCATAACGCGCTCGCGATTCCAGATTGTGAAGTCACATGTGTTGTAGGACCCAGCGTGTAAGTCTTCAACTTCATAGGCGCCGTATCTGGAGCAGTAAGATGCGAAGATTCAGGAAGGACCCCAATGTGGACCGTATGCGTCGTAAGTATCGCGAGGTAATTAGAATGTGGAGAGATGATAATTTGTCGTATATCATCAGCCACAGGAGTCTTCAAAGTCTAGAAACTCAATCAGTCCCAAACCACCAAAAACATGCCCTAGCAAAGACTCACTCTATATCCCTGAGCATGATCCCCATCATACTGAGATTCCTCATCCTCCTCATCCTCCTCCAACTGCCTTCTCGATCTCCTCTCCTTAGGCTGTTTACTCTCCCAAGCTTCCTTCAGATACACCAAATCCGCCCATCGAATTTCCTTCCCAACAGCCGTGAAGATCTCCGTTCCTCTCCGCGCAATAGTCCGTCTCGGTCCAGGTTTAGATACTCTCTTCCGACTCGTGTTCGCGCTCGTCGAGCTATAACTTGCGTTTGCAGCTGAAGGCGCCCCATTAAAGATTTTATATCCAGGATTGGGCTTCGACAGCCATGCTGGCGTATAACCAATTGCTTTCGGCATCGTGAGCGATCGAATGCGATTTCGCACTTGAAAAAGGTGCGAGAAGCTGAAGAAGGCGTTTCTCTTGAATTTGAGGTATCAAGTATTCGTGTTTGGTCAAGTGGTCATGGTGAAAGTGGTTTGTTGTTGAAAAGCGTTTGCGGTTGACCTGCCTGAGAGTCGGCGGCGCTAGGCGACTCTTGGAGAGGTTCCCAGGCTGCTTCCTCCCTACCAGCCTTCAAAGTTGCAGATTCAGCAGCCTCGTCAAACCGACACAACACCACTTACACAACGACACAATGCCTGGAACAGTGACAGTGCGAAACACGGTCGATAGACTGGATAAGCCAAGTGCATACTACCAATCCAGGGTAAGAGAGAAAAACCACCATCACCGAATTCCATAATGTTCTTTCACTCGGCGCATCGCATCGCATAGCTAACCTGCTGTCTTCACAATTCAGAACAACAAAAAACGCCGATACCAAGATGAAGACGAGCGCGAGAAAACCCCCGAACCAGTCGATGATCCCCTAAAAGACGCCGCAACCCTCTATGTAGGGAACCTGTTTGTCCCCCGAATCCCCTCTCATCAACGCAATCCTCTAACAACCACAGATCCTTCTACACAACTGAAGAACAAATCCATGAACTTTTTGCCAAATGCGGTGAGATCAAGCGCTTGATTATGGGACTAGATCGTTTCACCAAGACGCCCTGTGGCTTTTGCTTCGTAGAATACTACACACATCAAGACGCTCTGGATTGCTTAAAGTACATTGGCGGTACGAAGTTGGACGAACGGATTATACGGACCGATTTGGACCCGGGATTTCAAGAGGGAAGACAGTATGGACGGGGTAAGAGTGGGGGACAGGTTAGAGATGAGTATAGGGAGGAGTATGATGAGGGACGGGGTGGGTTGGGGAGAGCGATTCAAGCGGAGAGGATGAAGGAGGAGGAGGAGTATGGGAAGGGGAGATGATCATTTTCTTCTGACTATCTTCTTTTCTTTTAGCTTGTGCGAAGGGATTGTAAAGTATGGCGTTAGAGGCGTCTCTGGGGCCTCTTTTTCATAGCAAAGGTATCTTGCATTGGCCGTACAAACTTGCCATATGTTTTTGCTTGCTATTCCATTTTCAAGTAAAATCGCTGCTTGAAGATGATCTCGAGCATAGCAACTCCCAGATTTTGCTATACGTTTAAGCCCCATTCATGTATGTGTACCTATCATTTCTAGTGGTGAGTTCCCTCAATTCCATTCATGACAATAATTCGTACAAGTATAGTACAGTATATCTTTCTCCTCCTGGTCCCGCGGCCCTCAATTGATTGCTTGTTCTTCATTTCCATCAATCCAATTGATCAATATCCAGGTGGATTGATCCTCTGCGAAACTCTCGTCCATTTCGGTAATTCTAGGAATTCATGATCAGCATAATCTCATTCAAAGTCGAATCGCAATTCCATGTCAGGCCCATTTCTCTTAACCACCATTTCCATCACACACCCATCTCTCATCAGGACACCCATTCAATACCCTCAACACCCGCTCCCCACACCCCCTCCTCCCCTGC